CCTATGTGGCCAGGAAAGGTGTGAGAGGTGTGCCGAAATTGGCGCGGGACGCATGTGGACGCAGCCATTGGGGCCTTCGATGGAGCTCCGTCTAGGGTCACGAAACGTGTGAGGGGTGTGCCGAAATGAGCGGCGGGGACGCATGCGGGCGGCGCCATTGGGGCCTTCGTTGGAGCTCCCTTTGTGGCCACGAAACGTGTGAGGTGTGTTCCGAAATGGGCGGCTGGGACGCGTGCGGGCGGCATCAGTGGGGCTCCCGGTGGGGCTCCGCATGGGGCCACGAAGCGTGTGAGGTGCGTGCAGCAATGAGCGGCTGGGACGCGTGCGGGCGGCGCCATTGGGGCTTTCGGTGGGGCCCTCTTTGGGGCCACGAAACGTATGAGGAGTGTGCCGAAACGGGCGGCTGGGGCGCATGCGGGCGGCGCCATTGGGGCCTTCGGTGGAGCTCCCTATTGGGGCACGATCCTTGTGAGGGGGGTGCCCAAATGGTGGACATGCGGAGGGCAGAGGTACATAGAGATGGGGGGAGGAGGGGGAGGAGGAAGGAGAGGTGAGGAGAGGAGACGCGGGGCGCTGTCTCTTCCAAACGAGGGCCCAACACCAGAGGATGGTTGGGAATAAATTCGTACCATCCCCCGCAATCCACTATCGCCCCCCCCCCCCCCCCCCATCCCTGCCAAATGATACTATGCGCGCGCACTCGTTCATCAAAAGACCAGTTTTCATTAATCCCTTGCGAAACACATGACCACGCGCGCGCGCGGCGTCGCGCGGGCATGCCAGAATCCTTCAGAAACTTTCGAAATTGTCGGGATTTCAACATCGAAGTTTCCGAACACATATTAAAACGCACATGGTTGTGCAACATGTGTTTCAAGAAAGGTCTGCGCGCCCGTTTTTGCGAGTTCTTAGGACAATCGAATGTTTTTGAACTGCGACCAAGCGGTCCTCTCGCGCGCGCATGTCGAAATCATTCGAGCGCCTTCGCGCGCTTGCTGGGGGGCATGGTCTTTGTCAAATAACAGCATGCGTGCCACTCGCGCCGGACGGCCGCAAGCGCATGCCGAAAGTTTGCCAAAACCTTCATCACCGACACGTGGACACCATCATTGTCATCGGCGTGATCAGCCTCGGCGCTGTCATTGGATTGGCCTTGCCGTCGTCATTGTCGCCATCATCGTCACCAGCATCGCTACTATCATCATCGTGTCTGCCGTTGTCGACGTCGCCAGGATAGCGCACCCGCCTGAGCCACCGACTTGCATTGAAGTGCCCATGCGTCACGTCAGCGCGGCCTGCGAGACGCTCTGGGAAATCCCCAGCGGTCAGTGCCACCGCGGCCGCGTCGGTCGCGCCAGACGAATTGGCCGGTTTGCGCGCGAGCGTGCGCGCGCTAGCGCGGCCGCAGCGCTGCCCCAGCCAGTTCAAGGCAGTCGTCGCCATCGCCGCCGCATGGGCTTTGGAAGCCACATTGCGGGAGGGTGGGTGGTATGATTGCGCGAACAGTGGAGTTGACCACTCACTGCGAACAGAATTTCCCACATACGCAACATAAATGGTTGCACATAGATTGCAGCACTTAGGCTGCTCCACGTATTTGGCACCACACAGAATGCTTAATCCATATATTGCTATATGTATATATGTATGTCTGTGTATATGTATATGTATATATATATGTGAATATATATATATATATATATATATATTCCACATCGTAGATTGCACAAACGTAATTGCACTGCGTGAAATCTCCCAAATCGATGGCACCACATGTTTTGCGCCAGATAGAATGCTCCACGTAAATAGCACCACGTATTCGCAATCGGTTTCATTGTTTGGAGTTCACGCTGGCTTGCATATACATCTATATATATACACATATATATATATATGTATATATACATGTGCATCGAGAAAAAGAGCGAATCACACACATGATATATACAAATGTGTGCATATGTATGTATGTATGCATGTATGTACGTATGTATGACTGTATGTATATATATATATATATAAAAATGTATGTATGTATGTATGCATGTATGTATGTATGTATGTATGTATGTATGCATGCATGCATGCATGCATGCATGTATGTATGTATGTATGCATGTATGTATGTATGTATGCTTGTACGTATGTATGCATGCATGTGTGTGTGTATGTATGTATGTCTGCATGTGCATGTATGTATGAATGTATGCATGCATGTATGTATGCATGCATGTATGCATGTATGTATGCATGCATGCATGCATGTATGTATGTATGCATGTATGTATGTATGTATGTATGTATGTATGTATGTATGTATGTATATATATATATATTATATATATATACACATTTATGTATATATATATATATACTACTGTGGGCCCGTGGATTAAATCCACGGGGCTGCGTGAGTCGAGATTTGCCGACGCGCGCTTATGTTTCCGGCGCGCAAATGCCAGCAAGCTGCGGTGTGCGGTCGACAACCAACGTGGAATCAATGATTTTTGCCTCTTCAAGCCCTCTTGGGGGTCCTCCTCAGGCTCTTTTCGGGCGCGTGAAGCCCTCTGGGGCTGTCTTGACAGCATCAGGGCCGTCTTGGGGCCCTCATGGGCAGGCTCGGGGCTCTCTTGGCCTGACTTGGTGGCCTCTTGGGAGCTTGTTGGGCTGTCTTGGGGGCCGCATGGGGGTCTATTGGGCCGTCTTGGGGGCCTCTTGGGCCCCCTTGGGCCCCTCTGGGGCTGTCTTGGGGCTTTCTTGGGCTCCTCTTGGGCCGTTTCGGGGCGATCCTGGCCTCTTGGGCCGTCTTGGGGGTCCAGACGGTTGGGAGCGCGAGAATCTCAGAATCCGTAAGAAACTCATGGAAAATCTACGATTTCGGCCTCTCGGGCCCCCAGAGAGTCCCCTCGGAGCCGTCCTGGGGCGTCTTCGCGGCCTATGGGGCCGTCTTGGGAGCATCGTAGGCCGTCTGAGGGCGGTCTTGGGCCATCTCGGGGCTGTCTTTGGCCGTCTCGGGGCTCTTCTGGGGAGCTCCAGTGCCGTTTCGGGGCCCTCCAGGCGCCCTCGGGCTCTCCGGGGGGCTCGGGGAGCCGGGTCCCACGCAAACCCACAAAGCTCCTGATGGACGAATTAATTTGAATGGATATATATATATACACATATATATTTACACACATATATATATGTAGAGAGAAAGATAGATATTCAGAGAAACAAAAACACGCAGAGGGAGAGAGAGAGAGAGAGACAGAGAGATGATAGAGACATGGTAGAAAGGGAGAGAGAAACAGAGAGAGAGACAGAGAGAGAGGGAACAAGGGAGAGAGAGAGAGAGAGAGAGCGAGAAAGAGAGAAACATATAGGGGACACGTAGAGAGAAATAGAGAGAGAGAGAGAGAGAGAGAGAGAAAGAGAGAGAGAGAGATAACAACAAAAGAGCGAGATATTGAGAGAGAGAGAGAGAGAGAGAAAGAGAGAGAGAGAGAGAGACAGAGAGAGAGAGAGAGAGAGAGAGAAAGAGAGAGAGAGAGAGAGAGAGAACGCAAGAGGGAGGTACACGCGTGTGTGTATCGATTATATATATAGACAGAGATAACACATCAATTATAGAGAGAGAAAGAGAAAGAGCAAGAAAGAGAGAGACGGACGGATATGGGCTGGGGAGAGAGGCACACCAAGTAATTACACTTCGCGGTTCTCTTCAGGCCCACTAGAGTTACCAGGGTTTCGGCCTTGTTCAGGCTTGCGGGCGAGTCTTCAGATGCGCGCACTTCAGGCAGCTTCAGGCGGGCCACGCTTCAAGCCCGTATAGAGAGAAGCGGGGCATATAATGATAGGAACGGGGCTTTGTACACACGCGGTTCCACACGCATGATATTATACACGCGTGGGATCCCATTTGCACGAGGGTCTACAAACATATCACTCCGCAGGCATAGGGGCCCCACGTCCCACAAACACGGGGTCCCGCACGCATTCACATGGAGTTCCCAAGTTGTTGCGCGAGCGAACTATCAGGGGCAGACGCGCTTGCATCCTCTTTTGATTTCGCCGCTTGAAGCAATTTGCTGCTGACGTCGTTACATGGAATATGCAGGACGGAGCATCTGACGTGGAGGGCGTGCTTGTGGATTCACACGTGGGACGGATTTTGGATTTGCTAAAAGTCGGAATACTTCCGCGCATTCGCCGATCGCGCGAGTCGTACTACAACTGCTCATCAGTAGACAGCTTTCCTCGGTTCGAGGGCGTTGCAGCCATAATCCAATTGCCCAGTGCCTATGGGTTTCCAGACCAGATGACTTTTTATTTTCTCTTTCGCATGGGCTATCACTGGAGTAGTCAAGTCGGAGCTCCCACACGCACTTGAAACCAGTTTGAGGAGACGGGCGAGTCTGGAAGCACGGAGCTTGGGGTTCCCCCAGACCCTTCTCAAACAATACAAGAAGGGGTGCTTGCCGCTGTAGAAGAAGGGGTAGATGCCTTTGGAATGTCTCCGCGAGTCTTCCTCCCCCGATTGGCCCCCCGTCGGGCCTCCTCGGGGTTGATTTGTTTAGAGGGGAGTAGTTCTCGACGCCTTTTGAGGCGGGACGTATAAGTTCATGAATGGCAAATCCAAGAGTGTTCAGGCTCAGGGGGCAGCAACATAGATAGGGCAAACAAGGGGGCCTTCTGATGGACGATGTCGTAGTCGCCATGCCGACGTAAGTGCATCTTTGTGAACGCATTTTCGTTTGACTGCGTGACAACGTGGATACCCCTGAACGGCAGAGGAACAGCCAGCAAGGCAGAGATGTCACACGATCCAGGGAGAACGCAACGTGATTGCTTTCAGTAGTTCTTGCTGCTTAGTGGCGCCATCATGTTCTGCCCTGGTCCACATTCATCCCGTTATTGCAGATCTAGTAGCGGATGGGGTTCTTGGAACCAACGTGCATGAATGATGGAAGACTTTTGTTGGGCTTGATGTTATTCCTATCTCTCTCTCTCTCTCTTCAAAGGCCGCGTGGCGATTCTGTTGCGACGACTTGGGCTTCCTACCTACCCAGGCGCTTCTCGATTGGGCGAGGAGGATGATGTGGAGAGCAGCACTTCTGTTGAACGCCCCTGAGAGGCAGATATCGCCGTCCCACGTTGTGGAACATGGTTGCTTTGACAGAAGTGGCGATATGTGCAGCCAGCGAACAAACTTTGGGAGGCCTGGTGCAAGAAGAAGAGGGCAGCGTAAGCGGCTCAGGGTGGGGTCCCAGACGGCTGAAGACCGGCCCAGGAGGGGCCCAACAGTTTTTGGAAGCAGCCCCAAGGGGCGCCCAAATGTGAATGTGTCGAAAGTAATGGATGAGGGTAACAAGGGGGAAGCGGAAGGTACAATCAGCACTGGCATCTAGTTTTGCCCTAAGGGGGGCTTCCAGGAGCCTTTCGGTTGCGTTCAAGAAGGCTCAAGAGGGCGTCAACAGGGCGCTCAGACGGCCCAAGATGGCGTCAAGAAGCTTTCAGTTTGTCCCAATAATGTGACTGGAGAGATCCCAAGAGTCGCACGAGAGGCTCCGAGAGGCGCAAAGGTAAGCTCGAGACGTCCATTTGTCAAACGCAGTGCGGTGTCTTCGATTCAACAGGTCTCGAAGAGGGCCTCAGAAGGGCTCCGAGATGGCCCAAGAGGGCCCCAACAACGGGCCAAGTCAGCCCATGAGAGCCCAACGAGGCTTCAAAGACAGTCCAAGAGGGCCCAGAGAGGTCTTCGACGGGGCCCGGCGGAGTCTGGACGCTATGCGCGCGAAAGCGGGGTTGGCCTTGGGGGCAGAGTGGTGGCCCGCGGGCGCCCAGCCCGCAGCCACGGCCATAGGGGCCAGTGCAATGCGCGGGCCGCGGGGGGGGGGCCCCAGCGGGGGCGGCTGGGGTCCTGAGGCAGGGGTGAAGAGGAGGAGTGTGCAGATGATCGGCATCGGTGAACCGATCCCCATCCCCATCTCCATCCCCTTCGAGACCCCCACCAAATTACCACCCCAGTTGGGGAAACACCCCTCGAAGCCCGAAGGATACGGCCTATATCCCCATCTAGGGGGGTAAATCGGCCAGTGGGGCCCAGGCCACGCAGCTGGGGATGGGGGTCGGATAAACGATGCTCAGGTTCTGAGGCAGGGATGAAGACGAGGAGTGTGCAGATGAGAGAGTTCAAGAAGGACATTTCTGGCAGAGCCTTATGGCGGAGATCTCGCACGCCGTTCCCCGTTGGGGCGGCGGATCGCTTCGCGCATTCCGCTGGCCCACAATGTATAATCCTTGTCATCTGTGTGCTCGCGAGCATTGGGCAGCTGTTGGGTGGTGGTGATTTCCGTGACGTTTCGCCCTTGCAGCCCGAAAACACGGGTGCACAATGCTTGCAACCCCTTTGTGGGCTGTCGGAACACCCTGGGCGACTGCAGGGGGTCTCTGGGAGACTTCTGAGGAGTTCTGCTGGGGCCTCTAAGGGGCCTCTTGAGGCCTCTTGGGGGCCTCCTGGGAAAATTTTCGGATCATTGCGGGCCGCCTGTGAACCATCTTGGGCCTCTTGGGTCTGTTTCGTGGTCATCCTGGGGCCATCTCGGGGCCTGTCTGCTCATTGATCCCGGCTCTCGGGTCGGCTCGGGGTCTTTCTGGTGCCCTCTTGGGCATGTGCAGGGCCCCAAGAGACGCCCGAGAGGCCCCAAAGGGGCCCCAAGACGGAAACCTCCAAGAGGTCCCCAAGAGACTCCCGAGAGGTACCCCAAGGGAGCCCAAGACAGAAAAACCTCCCAAGAGCTCCCCCGTAACGGATTTGTTGTTGTTACGCGAGTGGAGTGCCACAAAAGCTCCCAAGGGATCTTGGTGACGGCACGGCTCCCAAGCGTGCCTGGTGACAGAAACAGTGTTTTCGCAAGCGAAATCGCACCAGGGCTCCGAAGAGCTCTCGATGATGGAAAAAGCGTTCATGCGAGTGGACTGCCACAAAGGCTCCCAAGAGCTGCCTGTGACGGGCTTTCGTGCGAATGGAGTGGCACCAAGACTTCTAGAGCTACTGGTGATGGAAAAGGGTTTACGCGGATGGAGCGGCATGGGCTCCCAAGAGCTGTCAGTGACGGAAAAGCCTTTACGCGAGTGGAGTGGCATAGGCTCCCAAGATCTCCCGGCGACGGCGACATAACGCTTTCACGCGAGTGGATTGCCATGAAATGGCGCGCTCTTTCCGTTGCCGTGCCAGCCCAGGTGACGGAACGAGCGAGGTGTGAGCGCGATGACGTTCTGGCGGGGCGAGCGAATGGTTCTGAAGTGGAGGGGGTCCAGTGGGGTGCAGGGGTCAGGGAACCCATCGGAAGACGTACCTGGTCGGGCGACAAGACCTATACATATCCACGGCCCCCTGGCCGAGCCTTCCTGGGCCCCTGAGCTGTGTAGATGCCCTTCAGGCCAAGCCAGGAGGGCGTGGCGTGTGCACCGCTGCTGGGCTCAGGATGGGCCTGGCCTGGGAGCAGTGTCGCTGGGGCGGCCAGCCCCACCTGCGGCCGATCCCTCTCCATGACACAGTTTGCAGAGGCGGCGGTGAGCCCAGAAACAGTCAGCGGCCCTGTGGAGCGGAGGATCTTTCTCCAGCAGGACGGGCATCGCTATGCATAGATCTCGTCGCCCTACCTGGGAGGCCAAGCTGGCAGCGCTTCTTTGGTCCTGCAGGCCTCTGGAGGTCTCGAGGCGGCTCAGGAGGGCGTCCAGGACGCCATTGGGATGGCCCAAGGGGCCCCCTGATCGCCATCAGGGGATCTCCCCACAAGCGGTGCCATTGCGTTTCCCCGTCGTGCAGGGCACGCGTCCAGATGACATGACTCTGGGGCTTGCTCGTGCCGCTTTCTCCATCTTCCCCTGCCTCCTTCTGCCGCTTGCTTTCTGTGACAATCGTGCTTTGCGTCAGGTTGGTTGGCAGGGGTAGGTGGCGGAAATAACACCTTAACATCCTTGGTCGCAAGAAGCTCGAGGTCCGTGATGACGTAGGGCTCAAGGCGATTTCTCAGTTAGGCAACGCCCCTGGCAGAGGAGTCTGGAAGACGGCGACTTCTTCCGCGACGACTTCTTCCGCGACGACTTCTTCCGGAAAAACTTTCTTCTGGAAGAAGTCGTACGGAAGAAGTGGTTTGGAAGAGGTGGTCCGGGAGAAGTCGTCGCGGAAAAAGTCGTCCTCGAAAGAAATGGTCGGGAAGAAGTCGTCGGGAAGAAGTCGTCCGGAAGAAGTCGTCGAGACAGGGGTTTATCTCGAGAGATCGGTGCGGCGGAGACAGAGGAGAAGGGAGAAGAGGCGTTCGGAAGAAGGCGTTCCGAAGAAGAGGTTCGGAAGAACTCGTCCGGAAGAACTCGTCCGGAAGAAGTCGTCTCGGCGGAAGTCGCCTCAGAAGAAGTCGTCCGGAAGAAGTCGTCTGGAAAAAGTCGTCCAGAAAAAATGGTCCGGAAAAGGAGGTCCGGAAGAACTCGACCCGAAGAAGTCGCCGTGAAGAAGTCGTCCGGAAGAAGTCGTTTGGAAAAAGTCGTCCGGAAGAAGTCGTTCGGAAGAAATTGTTTGGAACGAGTCGACTGGAAGAAGTCGACTGGAAGAAGTTTGCATGGCGCCATTGCGCTCATTTCGGCGCATCTCTGTCACGTTTCGTGGCCCCATTTGGAGCTCCACCGAAGGCCTTCGTGGCAGGGTTCGCATGGCGCTACCGCCGACCGCACTTTTTCCGGCACACCCCTCACATGTTCGTGCCCTCTCAGGGAGCTCCGCGGAAGGCTCCAATGGCAGATTTCGCATGGCGCTACCGCGTTCGTTTCCGTACACCCCTCACACGCTTCGAGGCTTCATAGGGAGCTCCACCGAAGGCCACAGTGGCTGGGTTCGCATGTGCCTGACCGCACCCATGTCGGCACACCTCTCACACGGTTCGTGGACCCATGGCGGGCTCCACGCAAGGACACACTGGTGGGATTCGCATGGCGCCACCGCGCCCATGTCGGCGCACCCATCGCACGTTCCGTGGCCCCATTGGGAGCCCTCGAGGCCCCGTAGGGAGCTCCACCGAAGGCTGCAGTGGAGGAGGACGGGAGGCGCGGGGAGGAGCGGGACAATGGCGCGGAGACGGGCAGCGCGTCCCTCGTGCGTTGGCGGGACTTGGTTTACTGGATCCTGTTATGGTGATGTGTACCAAGGGACCCAACCCCGCCCCATTCCGCCAACCGGAACTGCAGTTACACGAAGAAAAATCGAAATATGACAATTCCTTCCGCGACGACTTCTTCCGCGACGAATTTTTCCGGAATAATTTTCTTCCGGAAGAAATCGCCCAGAAGAAGTGGTCCGGGAGAAGTGGTCCGGAAGAAGTCGTCACGGAAGAAGTCGCCTCGGAAGTAGTGGTCTGGAAAAAGCCGTTTTGAAGAAGTCGCCCAGAAGAAGTCGGCGACGCAGAGACTGTTCTCGGAATACTTCGGCGCGGAGGACATGGAGGAGGAGGAGGAGGAGGAGGAGGAGGAGGAGGAGGAGGAGGAGGAGGAGGAGGAGGAGGAGGAGGAGGAGGAGGAGGAGGGGGAGGAGTCGAAGAGGAGGAGGAGGAGGAGGAGGAGGAGGGAGGAGGAGGAGGAGGAGGGAGGGAGGAGGAGGAGGAGGAGGAGGAGGAGGAGGAGGTGGATTCTGTTGGATTCTGCTGGTCGAACGAACGCGATGCCCCATGGAATCGCGCTGCGGGTGACCCTGACCGCATCGGGCCGTCCCCGAGCCGAGCCAGGATGCCGTGCCCTCTGAGGGCTAACCTCAAAGGGCTTTCTTGTGGTGGGATGTGTACCCTGCCAAAGTCTCTTGAGCATACCCCCGACCACCCTTTGGGCCCCATGGCAACATGGGGAAAATAGGCCCAACCACCTGTCGCGGGCGTACCTGGCAAACCTACGACAGAAAACATACGATTGACGGAACACTAGTTTGCGCCCCGCTCCTATAGCTTTGTCGGCCCTGACAGCCCCCCAATCCAGGCTGTCCCGCGGAGGGGGGGTGACCGAGGGGTGGGGGAGGGGCCACCTCGGCCCCTTCGCCCGCACCGCCAGCCGTCCCAGGAGGCCCGGGGGGTTCCAGGAGCTTCAGGGCGGGGTCGGGGGCGTTCGAATCCAACGGTGGACTCGAGCCCTTCTCAGTGTCGACTATGCCACTTCCTAACGCTCCTACGTACGCTCCGAATTCGAGTATATCACGAAGGAGCTTGTATCTATCAATCTACGCTTCTCTACACCAACGGGGGGTGGGTATGGTACAGTGCCCCCTGCTTGGCGTCTTGATCCACTATCTTATTTCCCTCCCACCTCGCACGGCCGATGCTCTTGCTCTCGGCCCGCGAAGCGTGAGCTTGTACTTTACAGACCTGCACATTGTGGCTCAGTCCGCCGAGCTCTCTCAGAGCTCTCAGATTCCCTAGGTGTTTCTGGCGACCTATGAGTTTTCCCAGAGTTCGGAATCTGGACCCCGCTCGCCGCCGCGAAGTATGGGAAATCCACATAGATGGACGACTGCCGCCGAAGAGGCCCCCAAGAGGGCCACAAGACGGCCAAAGAGCGCCCCAAGACGGCTCAGAGGCCCCCAAGACGGCCCGAGAAGGCTCCAAGCCCAGGAGAGCTCCACGATGGTCCAAGAGGCACCAAGACTGTTTCAGAGGTCTCCAAGAGGCCCTCAAGACGGCGTAAAGGTCCCCGAGAGACCCCCAAGAGGCCCCCAAGGGGCCCCGAGAGGCCCGCAAGAGAGTCTCAAGATGCCCCCCATGACGGCCCAGTTTCGGACACAGCTTTGACGCCACGGCTCCTGTTCCTAGACGGCTCTGTGACGGACGCAGCTTTGACGCCAAGGCTCCCAAGAGCTCCAGAGGACGGGAAAGCCCTTTTTAGGCAAGCCTGCGACGTAAAAAGCTCCGAGCGCCAAGGGTCCCGCATCAATGACGCCACGTGGACCCGCTCTGTTCGCGGCTCGCGCCCAGCGGGTGCTTGGCGAGATGCGCATCTTGACAGATTCCCCACTCGCCTTCGAGATAGGCGGCGGGGTCTTGGATCTCAGAACGGACGACACGTCAAAGGTCGACCATTTCCACTGCGAAGCGTGGCGGAGTTGAATTTTCAGATTCTTCGAGAACCGGCCACAGCGGTACGCTCGAACGGACCTCCTGGACATCGACGCCAAGGCCGTGCTGACGTTCCATGAGCGGTACACGGGCTAGCATGACTGGGCCCTCGCGTGGCGCTGCTGCATCTCTGGGAAACCCAGCCACGACCCGCTTAGCCACCTCCGACAGGACACGCCACGCCTTTTCGAGGCGTACCACGACGTTTTCGAACACCACCGACCACTATTTGTGGCACTGCTCAGCCACCAGGCGTACCCGCGAGGCGAAACGCCTGCCGCTGGTCATATGCCAGGACCCCCGCTCTTGAACGACAAGTGCCGCATGCTCATGGACAACGGGTAGCCCAGCACGGGTAAGCCGCATTTGAGGTCTGGTGCTCTGTCCTGCTTGGCGTGCAAACGCAACATATACACAGCGAATTATGAGCTGCTGCTCAACGTTATGACTATCGGGACCAGGAGTTTTTTCTTTGCATGGACCGAGGACAGTGACATCCTGTTTCAGACAAAGACTGTTATCAGTGACGCAGGAAGCTCTCAACGCCAAGGCTCCCAATGGCGAGCGCTGACATAAAGAGCTCTTAACACAAGGGCTCACAAGAGCGAGCCGTGGTGTGAACAGTCCCGTAGTGCCAATGCTCCCAAGAGAGAATGGTGCCATGAGCCTTTTGGGGCACATTCCAGGAGCGATCTGTCCGTTCCTTTGCCGGCCCAGGTGGCGGAGAGAGCGAGGTACGAGTGATGACATTAGTGCGGGGCGAAGGAAATTCCAGGGACGGGTTCCAGGAGAGGGCAAGGCGCGGGCAACTTGGCGTCGCGCGCGCGCGCCCCCAGTCAAGAGCGGCCGACAGGCCTTGAGACGTCCCAGGATGTCCCGAAGACGGCTTCAGATACCCCCAAGGCGGCCCAAGATGGTTCAATATCGTGCAAAGATTGTCCAAGACGGCTTGAAGACGGCCGAGGCCCCCCAAACTCCCTGAGAGGGCCCTAACAGGAACCCCAACAGGGCCCCAGGCAAAACAATTGTTTCCCATAGTTCTTGGAAGGAATTCCAGCCTTCTCATTTCTGGCAGTCCAACGCGGCCCTGGGGCCGTTGAGATCGCCCCAAGACTGCCCCGTATACTTCGACAGGGGCGAAGACCTTCCAAGAGGGCCCCAAGGCGACCCAAGATGGCGTCCAGTGTGGCTCCCAGACGGTTTGAGCGGCCCCCAGGAGGGCTCCAAGATGGTCCAAGAGGGCCCAAGGATTTTTGCCCGAGAGGCTTCCTGAAGACCCCCAAGACGGCCTAGAAGGCTTCCCAGAGACCCCCAACAGGCCCCCAATGCGCCACTGCCCCCGCTCCTAGGCGGCTCAGTGACGGACGCAGCTTCGACGCCAAGGCTCCCAAGAGCGAGCAGTGACACGAAACGAGCCGCACTTGTTCTCTTTCTCGTTCTCTTGACCTCATCCTCGTATACCATGCGTAACGTGCATGATACAACCTTCTTCGATGGCCATGGTCAGCCTCGCAGTCACGACCGTGCTTGAGTCAAGTTCTTCGGCATGCCCTCTCGTACGTTTGCTATAGGCGATTGGCATATGAGCTCCGTGGCAAATATTCCGATTGCGGTTGTGCCCTTCTTGTGCGTCCAGCCGGCCTTGATTACCCATCTGATCGGCAATTCGTTGGTGTCGGGCGGCGAGTTTCTTTCTTGCAGGTCGTGCTGTGGGGCCGCTCGATTGGAACAGGACCAGCCTCGGCCCTGGCGTGCTCCTGTGCTGTGACACAAGGTGGGGCGGGGATGCGAATGTAGAGTCTCGTGCCGTCGGGGCAGGCGCATCCGTGCAGTGCTTAAATCGAAGCCAGAAGAGCAGGTATGGTGGTGAAGAAGGGGGGAAGGATTAGGATGCCGATGCTGATGCTGCCGAAGATGACGATGAGAAACAGGAGGAGGAGGAGGAGGAGGAGGAGGAGGAGGAGGAGGAGGAGGAGGAGGAGGAGGAGGAGGAGGAGCAGGAGGAGGAGGAAGAGCAGGAGGAGGAGGAGGAGGGCTGGCGAGGATTAGCGCAACGAGGTTAGCAGGGACCGCCGCAGGGGTGCATGCTATCTGATCGTGTGCCTCGTCCCTCACCCCAGGCCTCTCCTGGGCGGTATTTGGGGGCAAAGCCACAACGGCCTGTTCGTGGTGGGGTTCCTACTTTGCTACAAACGGTTTGAACGTCCATAGATCGTCCGAGGATTTTCATGGTTGTTCCTCAGGGCAACTGTTCAGAAGTCCAAACTGAGAACGTTTGGCTCCTACCAAACAACGAATCCGTAGCTGAACACGTGGCGTTCCAGCTACATCCCACGAGAGCAATGCGGGCCTGCTCGCAGTTTCGCATCACGACCTCATCTCGGCACGGCCGACCTTCGCACACGAGCTGATCCCAGAACTGTACCCGAAGACGTCCGCTCCTGCACTTCCGCCTTCTCGCATTGCACCAGCCTGCTGCCATTGCGCGCTCTTCTCGCATTGCCATCGCCTGCTGCCACTGCCTGCCTTCGCGTACGAGCTGAACCCCGAACTGTAACTGAGGACTGAGGACGTCCGCTCCTGCACTTCCGCCTTCTCCGCAGTGCCAAGACTTGCTGCCACTGCGCGCCCGTCTCTCATTGCCAGCTCATGCTGCCATTGCGTGCCTCCGCACACAAGCTTATCCCTGCTTTGTAGCTGCTGATTTTCGCTTCTGCACGCTTCTCGCAGTACCAGCGACTGCTGCCACTGTTCGCCTTGTTGCTATCGGGCTCCGTGTTCGCCTTCAGCTTCCCGCGAGGAGTCGGTTGTAGCTGATGGCATCGGGCTCGACCTGCGCCTTTTCTCGATGCGTCGGGCACCAGCTTCGCCTCCCGCTCTCTGGTATGAGGAGACTGGTGTGGCTCCAACTTCACCTCGCCCTGATCCCAGCGCTGTAGCTGATGGCATCTGGCTCCTCCTTCATCGGCCTCATTTTTCACCGCTGGCTTTGTACATCGCGTCGGATACAGCTGACGGCATTGGGATCGTTCTTCACCTCTGCACAGCTCCAGCGCCCGCTGCCACTGCCCGCCTTCTTTCTCGCACGGGCTGCTCCTGGCGAGGATGCTGATCGTGGCCCACCCGGGCTTTTCTCGTAGCGCCAGCGTCTGCTGCCGCTGCGTGCCCCTTTTCCCGCAAGGGCTGCTCCCAGCGTTTCTGCTGATCGTGGCCCACCCGCATTTTTGTCGCTCTCGCAGCGCCAGCACCAACTGCCACTGCTTGCCTTTCGCACGACCTCATCCCTACACTGTAGCTGAGCATAACTTTGCTTTGCCTGCACTTCCGCCGCGGCTTTGTGGAAGCCGGCGGTGCAGCTCGCCAGACTGACGAGGGGAGGGGGAAGGAGGAGAAAGAGTACGACGAGGGAAAGGAGGGGAGGGCGGAGGGAGCCCAGTCTCCTGGCGGGTGCGCTCGCGCCTGTTCTCAGCATTGTACTTGATGACATGGGGCGCCACGCGTCTGGATGTCGGCTCTCGCGAGCAGGGCCATTTCGAAGTTTGCCCGCGATTCACTCTTGCGCGCCCCGTGCAGGGGGGCCGCTCGGGCGCGAAATGGCTCGAGCCAGGAGGAGGAGGAGGAGGAAGAGGAGGAGGAGGAGGAAGAGGAGGAGGATGAGGAGGAGGAGGAGGAGGAGGAGGAGGAGGAGGAGGAGGAGGAGGAGGATGATGAAGAGCACTAAAAGGATGGTCGAGGGGAGGTGGCAGCAGGGCAGACCGCAGGGCAAAGGGACGGACAGCCATCGAAACGCTCTTCTCCCCTAGGGGTGAACGTCCTGAGCCCCTTTCTGCGCCCTCTCCGTCCTCCCACCTCCCTCCTTGCACCTCGCGTGACGGACAGTCATCGAAACACAAGAATCCCCTGTGGGTGAACGTCCCGAGCCCCCTTCTGCCTCTGCCGCCACACTGCGCCCTCTCCGTCCTTTTACATCCCGCCTCGAGCAGCTCAAAGAGGCGCAGTGCTCGCCTTGCCCCCATTGTCGGGTAGGTCGGCGCGCAGGGACGAGGACTTTCCCTCTCTTCGCTGCCGCTGCAGCTGGCCCGCCTCACCCCCTCTTGGACGCGTGCCCCCCCGCCTCCCTCCTCCCACCTCGCCTCTCCCTCCGCCTGCCTCCCTCCCCCACCATCCCGCCCCCGTGCGTCGGTGCTGGAGCGGCCGTGGCGAGGGCACAGAGCGACGAGAGCATGGCTGCGCCAGCGGGGAAAGCAGCGCATCAGCGCGCCGCGGAAATGCTGCGAACCGCTCGCCCGTTGTGTCGAGGACCTTCCTTCTTCAAGCATTACCTCATCACTGTTTCTTTCGGTGGGCGACGCCGAGTTCTGAAGAGTTGGGTCGGTTCGGGTAACATCTGGGCGCCTTGGTGATGTTGTGCTTGGTCACGTGCATACATGTGGGTCCAGGGAGCATGTACTTAAGTCGGGCACGTTCCTCGACAGTAGGAATATTCAAAAATAGTTAGCCTGGGGACGATTTTTCAGATTTTTGTTTTGGCACTTGTTGGGTATATTTGGATGTTTCATTTTTCGTCCCAACCCCCCCTGTAGGAGGACATGCCCGACCGAAGCATGGGCGTGAAGAAAGGAGAGACGGTAGATGGCAGGCTCACGGCATCCGCTGGGAGAGATGGCGAGGTGGAGGCGAGCGCAGCCAAAGTCAGGCCGGCCGTCCCGTGGGCGCCCTCGTGCTGCTGGCACCCTTCACTTCGGTGCCAGCGGGGGAGGGAGAGGGGTTGATCTCGATGGTGAGGATTCGGCGACGATGTTGGCAGCTGTGATGGATTTTCTGGTGCGTCAGTTCGGTGCTCGCTGCGGCACTCTGGAGGGCAGGAAGGGGTGCCACGTTCCGGCGCCGCAGAAGGGGGATGGTAAGATGTGAGGATGGCATTCTTGTGGCCACGGCTGAGAAGAGCGCTGGGGGCTGCATCCTTGAAGAATCGAGGGGTGAGCGGCGCCATCCATCCCAGCGGTCGTGCCAGAGCGGTGCCAGGGAGTTTCTAGCCAATGCCAGGGATGCGTCGCCATGCTCCCGACACTTTCCCCGTGCAGCTCTCCTTGCAGCTCGGCTCCCTCTGGGGCCTATTACAATGCTGTGAGCTGCCAGGAGGTCTTGAGAGCTGCTTGCTGCAGGCGTATCCGAAAATGGTCGTGTGCCTCGTCGTAACTTCTGGTTCCTGAACACAGGTCCTCCCCCATTTCTTGCTAGAAAGTCTCACTCGCTGCACGGGCTGTGGGCAGAGTGGACTCGGAGGGAGGTGTGTGAGCGATGCAGGATCAAATTGATGGGATGCAGGTGGGGATAGGACAACGAGACATGCGGCAGGCAGGAGGCAAGCACTCATGCGGTAGGTAGGAGGCAGTGACAGCGCGAGGTATGCGAAACATGGGCACGTCTGCTCAAATTCATGTATGGGTCTGGAGGGGCTGGGAGGTCTCTGACGTTGTGCTTGCGCACTCCAACTCGCTCGTGGCGTCCCTCGTAGATCCCATGTGGAATATCGCCAGGCTCGTTGGAGATGAAGGCCTCAAGGAGGCCCTCTTGTGAACTCGCACCTGTCTCATCGTTATGTTCATTGCCTGCTCCTTCGCATGCCTTGTCACTTCCCTCTGATTTCTCCTCGCCCGTCCTACCTCTCACATCTTTCCCGTCCCATCCTTCTCCTCCACAGCCACTATTTTTTTTCACCCCAGGATTTCCACGACTCCCTGCAGTTCTCTTTTCCAGAATGCGTCGTTTTTTTCTCAACAAGTTTTGTTGACTGGGCCGCTGTGCTGACTGGGGTTCTATTGTGGTAAGACTTAGTTCGGCCTGAGGGACCCGCGCACAGAGGCATCCTCTAAATTCAGAGGTGGTCCTTCCCGTTCCAGCTGAGACATCCTCGCGACTCGTTTCCAAGTTGCTCGGGATCTGGGCGTTCCGCATGAGGCATCCTCGCAACTCTGGGCTCCGAGGTGCCGCGCGAGAGGTGGTCCTGCCCCTTATCGCCTAAGACACCCGCGCAGCTGGGTTCCGAGCTGTCGCGCGATGTGGTCTGGCCTGTTTCGCCTGAAAGATTATAGTAACTCTGGACTCCGAGATTGCTGGGATTGAGGTGCTCCCCAGCACTTTCTGTCTGAGACATCCTCCCAACTGTTTGCTCCGAGATGCCGCGCGCGAGGTGGTCTGGCCCGTTGCGCCCGAGACATCTTCGCAACCCTGGGCTTCCAGATGCCGCGCGCGAAGTGGTCCCGTTCCGCCTTAGACATCCTCGCAATTGTGCTCGGAGATGGCTGGGATTGAGATGGTCTGGTCTATTTCGTCTGAGACATCCTGACAACTCTGGGCTCCGAGATGCTGCACGAGAGGTGGTCCAGCCCTTTCGTCTGAGACATCCTCGCAACTCTGTGCTCCGAGATGCCGCGGCACGAGAGGTGGTCTGGCCCGTTTTGCCTGAGAGACATCCTCGCAATTCTAGGCCCCGAGATGTCTCGCGCCAGGTGATCTGGCCCGTTCGCCTGATACGTCCTCGGAACTGGGTCCCAAGAGGGAGGGAGGAAGGAGGCAGCCGAGGCCTGACCCAAATCACCTTTTCGATTCAATCTTTATTTTCGAATTGTGGTCCAGGGGTGGGTCCAAGCGCCCCTGGTCCGATGGAACAGTTATCCAGCGCCACGCCGCACCGCCGACCCCTGCACATTCTGGTGTGGCGCCCCCACCGCCTTCGGCCTCGCTGGCGCAGTGGTTCAAAGATGCCAACGTCACCTACGAGCACATTTCATTTCACTCCACGGGCCTCGCCAAGCGCCACAGCTTTACCCTCACTGGCGTCTCGTTGGCGGTACAGTGATTGCTGAACCGCGAGCAAGGCGTTTACACGCAGCACTCCATGTGGGACGCGTTTGGCGTGATTTCAATCATTTAATTGGTGGTGCTGCTCCTATTGTACTACACGTCTCGGCCGACGAGAGGCCACGCACAGCCCGACGCGGAATTCAGCTCAAGCGACTCGCTTCCTCATCAACCAGCGCTTTGACCACTGCACCCTCCGCAGGAGCCAGGGCTACATATCATGCCAGAGCGAGGTAGTTGTTCAAGTGCTTGTTGGTGATACTCCTGACGAGCCAACCACACTGCGCTGGACAGCTGCCACAGTACGCCTCGGCACCACCGACCAACAGCAAACCAACATCCGCGTCGCCTTCAAGTCCAGCTTCTCCGACGCCCTCGCCTCCGCACAGTGGCTTTAGCCCTCGCTGGGCCCCCTGTTTGAGCATTCCCACCGAGCACGGCATGAACATCGCCTTCTGGAACGCCCAGGCTCTTCACGGAGTCTCGGACCAGCGCCGCCAGGACAACCGCCGACTGCTCAAACCATTGTTGCGCCAGCGGGCCCTGATCGCGCTGCAGGAGACCCACCGGGCCGCCATCGACATGGACATCCTCGCGCGCTCCACGCAGCACAAGTACCTGGCCATCCACTCCAGCGTCCCGAACTCCGCCGTCGCTGGCGGCAGTAGTTTTTTGTCCCGTACGACCAGGTCGAGCTAAGCCGCTCACCTGACGAGCGACCTTTGCGTCCCTTCGCGGAGATCGTTCCAGGGCGAGCAGCATGGCTCGGAATTGCTGACATCATTCGCAACTACGGCGTCACCGTGCTGAACATTCACAACCGTGATCTCTCGCCCAACGACCGCCATGCGATGCGACAACAATGGCAACAGCTACGACAACATGCTGCTGAAGATCCCCCCAGGCGCACCGTCATCATGCTGGGCGACTTCAGCGTCTCCGAGCACGCCCCGAAGAGCATCGACGCGCCGATCGACTCCAACGCGATCGAGGCCCAGCGGTACCAGTATCAGCCCGCCTTCTGGAAGCAAATGTTTCAGGGCATGCTTGAGATCGCGACCCTCTCCGCCGCCCGCCGCGCCGCTGCCGCTCCCTCCGAGAGCACAATCGACCGCTGCTTCACATCGCTGCCCTCCCACGACATCCCCTTCATGGATATCGCGCTGAACGCTGGCGATTCTCCTCTCGAAGGCCCCAGCGGGGTGATCGGCGATCGCGGAATCACGCAGCTCCGCATTCGACCTGCCCGAAGCCGGCCGCCTCAAGAGCCAGTTCTCCCAGCTTTCGTCTTTGACTCGCCACGCTGCGATCGCGACTGGAAGGTCTTCGCCGAGAAGAATAGCATTGCGCTACCCTCTGCTTCGCACCAATAGCGCTACCAGGAATCGCTGATGCATGAAGCCGCCCGCCGTGCGCGCAATTCTATGGCCGTCGTTCTTGCCGCCGAGCTCAAATCGCAGACTGGCAACATCAGCAAGGATATTCGCGGCGTGACTCTCCGCGGCATCGCTCGGGCCACATGGCCCCAAGACGCGAACCTTGCGAATGAACTCATCGACGACGCGGGCGTCGGCCACGAGCGCCTCGAGATCGACGGCCGCGTCGTGGAGCTGCTGGACTTGCGCGCCTTCGCCGGGGGGGGGGGGCCCGGAGACCCGCGCCAGCCTGAGCGAAGAAGAACGCGCTCGCGCTGCCACCAACTCCCGCGCCGCCCGCGCTCGACGCAACATCGCTCTCGGTGACCGTTGGAGTCAACTCTCGGAACGCGAAGCCCGCAGAGGCGAAATCTGGAAGCATTTCGCGCGCCGCGTGATCCTCGCTGGCGTCGAGATAAAAGACGGACACCACCGCCGCGACAGTCTGCGAGCTCGGCGAGATGCACGCGGCCATCCTCGGCCACTGGAGCCCAGTCTTTGCCGCCGAGACGGTCTCCGACTCGGACGTCGCCGACGACCTCGACTGCGTCTTCCCCCATCCGCAACGACTCGAACTGCCTCTTCCAAGTTGCGCGCTGGTTATTCAGCTCCAGGGCCTGATGGGCTGCCCTACCGCGCGTGGCTGCGCGCCCTTGCTGCGCTGGCCATTCTGACCAATCTTGCGAATCGCGTGGTGGATTTCGGAGGGCCGTGCGACCTCGGCCGCGCCCTGATGGCCATGCTCCCGAAAGGTGATGAACCTTCCGGCAACGTCGATTGCACGCGCGCCCCCGCTACGCCCCGCCTGCTCAGCCTGAGGAACAGTGGCGTCAAGATGCTCGCGTCCGCCGTGAACTTCACTATCGCCAACGTCGCCGCCAACACCTCTGAGGAGCAAAAGGGCGTCGTCACAGGCCGCCAATTCCTCCGCGACGTCGTGATGATCGACGCCGACGCCCGCAAGCTCAGCACCGCTGCAGACGCGGGCTCCCGCGGGCCCGTCTTCGCCTCCATGGGCGTCGCTGCGGCATTTACATCGCTCAACCGCCAATGGATGCGGGCCGTGTTGGACCGCTGGGGCATCGGCGGCGACCTGTGGAGGCCGCCCTATACGTTCTACACCAAGCCGCTCTCCGTCCTGTTGCTCGGTGGGGTCCTCCGCTCACTGCTGTTTGCCGACTCTGGTGTGGCGCGAGGGTGCCCGCTCAGCGGCGCGATCTGGCCGCCCATCTTCGACCCCGTCACCCGCGCGATCGCTGGCGAGGTCGACGCCGTCCAGCGCGGCCTGGTCAGCGCCTGCGCCGACGACCTAATTAGGCATCGCGCCCCAGCGCCTGCAGAACATTCGACCATTCAACTTCTACTGCCGCGTCTTCTTGCGGCCGACAAGCTTGCAGGGGTTCAACGTCGGGCTAAGAAGTGCATTATCGCCCATGCGTGGGCGCTTTCGACGCCCGACCTGATCGCAGCGATGCAGAATGTGCTCGCTAATTTCCGCGCGCCCTGGAAGCATTTCACGATGGCGGACGGGGCGCGCTACCATAGCTTCCTCGTTGGACTAGGCGCTAGTCTACTTGGCCAGCGGCGTGGGCCAGCTGCCCAACGGTGGGGCCGCGCGCGCAAGCTCGCAGGCTCGCGCGCGCCGCTCCAGCAAAGCATCGAGCTCAACCGTGTTGCCGCCGTCGCTTGCCGAACCTCCCGCCGCCCTTCCATCCGAGGGGCACCGGGGCAACCACATGCTGCTCCGCGTTGTGCCCGGCAGCTTCGCCAAGTCCGACATCTTCGGCATTGCCTACAGGACCAACATCGAGACGCCGAACGGCGTCGAGCTCCTGCTTTCTGCCGCAATGTGGCGCACCGCCACCAAGACGATCGCAGTCTGCAGCAAGCGGTTCAACGACCTCCGCGGCGCCGCCTGCAGCAACCTTGACATCGTGACATTGCAGAGCGGCAGGTGGCGCGCCACATGTTGGGCCGACCCGCTCGCCATCGTCCAGCGCCTCGCCGACATCGCCAACGCCGCATATCTCGTCGAGGCGGCGGGGTCCCACCTCAAGCGTTTCGCCCGCTCGCCGGGCACCGCGGCGCGTGCGACAGGTGCCCTCGTCGCGCGCCGCAAGCGCGCCGCTCGCCGCGGCGCCGCCGCGCTTCTTCATCAGCGCGATCCGCTCGAGGAGTCGGCATCCCGCATGCGCTCGCCGCGCCGGGCGCGCCTGCTTGCCCTGCGCTAGCGCCTCCATCCCGACGCGCTGCACATCGCCATCGCGGAGCGTCTCCAGGCCTGGTTCC